CACACACACACACACACACACACACACACACACACACACACACACATCTGCTATCTGTTTACTAGGGCAATCTAAAATTCCACAAAACCAATATTGTCAACTGAGAATCTAAAATATTTAAGCATGCCTAGTTTTACCATTATGGCTACATTATCTGCGGGGAAGGGCATAAATAAGACAAGCTATGCAATGGTACTTTTCTACTCCATGAACTAGAGTACATGAATACATTTCGTTCTCCATATGCAGACGTGGTATCCACTCTTTATCATTGCTCTCACTTGAAGATAAGAGGTAAATGGAAACCACTCATGACAACATGTTGGACTAGTATCAGAAGATCCTTCAGCTTCGACGATACTATTGCCTCTTTACTTTCAATCTGTAAGGTCCTGTTCCATGATGGCATTAGAAGTAGGCACTGGAAAATATGAGCTCCATCAGTGCTACACAGCTTTTATATTCCATTTCTTCCCTTCACAAGCTTTAGGGCTCTATAAGTTGTTTGAAGTTTTGAACACAGGCTGTTATTTTTGTCTGGATGCGATTCTTTGACAGGACACTGGTTCCATTAAATATCACACTTCCAAATCTATTTGTCAGATACATGTCTCTACAACCACTCTTCGAGATTCTGAAAGCATTAGTGCCAGCCATAACTCATTTTTGCATCTCTTCTTCCACTGGACCCTGTCTCTAAAGTATAAAACCTACGTGAGGACCTTTGCAAGAAAACAGTTGGGAGAAGGGGCTGGTACACTTATTTCATATCTGCCATAGAGCTGAGCTTTAATGTAGTTCCTTTCTAAAAGTTTCATTGATTTTTGTTCCTTGTCATGTGAATTTCACAAGTGACAATTTTCAAACATTTGTGTATCTAAACATCTAGAATTTTTTGATCTTTTCATTCTTTACTGATTTATCTCTTTCCAATAAAATCCTATTAACAGCAGAATGTAAAGGGTTCTTGATAATCTTTTCCAATCATTTTTTGAAAACTATAAATCTAATGAACATTCAATTCTCAATGGTGTTTATTTATCTTTCACCTTCTGTCAACATTTCACAGGAGAGTAACCCTGTCACCAAACTGTATTACCCTCATTCATCAAACGCAAAGTGTCTTCTCCAAAATCTTTCTGTTTTCTCCTTTTCAGTTTTCTCTGATGAAATTATGTGTTATGACTATCTGGATTTTAAAAGTTGAGTTCCCCAAAGTATTGCTGTCAGATTTCTCTGAAGACTTCTTTAGAGTATGCATCAGTTTTCATAGCTTTAAATATTATTTGTATAATGATGTATCACTATAATGTATCGATATATAATATCAAATTACAATATTAATCCCCAGAATTTCTATTGTTATAATTTTATTTTAAACTGATATATTTACATTCTTTTTTAAAATTTGTTATTGTTTTTACAATTTATTCATTATATATTCTGATTGAAGCCTCCTCCCTCAACTCTTCCCAGTCCCACCCTTCCTCCCTTTTCCCTACGTCCCCTTTCCCTAGTCCCCTGAAAGAGGTTTTCCTTTGCCATCTGCCCATAGCTTATCAAGTTTTATCAGGACTACCTGGATCCTCTTCCTCTGTGGCCAGGCAAGGCCACATCTCCAGGAACAAGTGATTAAACAGCAGGCAATCCAGTTCATGACAGAGGCAGCCCCTGCTCAGCTTACATGGAGACTGAGCTGCCAGTGTCTAGCTCCTCTCTATGCATAACCCTTTGTTGGTACATCTGTCTCTGCAAGATTTCCTAAGCTCAGATGTTTTAGCTTTGTTGGTCTCTTGTGGGACTCCTGTCCCCTCATGTCCTTCTATCCTTCCTCCCCAACCCCCAACCCTTCATCCCTGCCTCTTCCATAAGACTCTCTGAGCTCTGCCCAAAGTTTGTTGTGAGTCTCAGCATCTGCTTTGAGCCGTCGTTGGACTTTCTACATCATGTATAAATGTTTTTTTTATATATTTATGTATATTACATAAATTCACATATAAATAAAATCTTCCAAATGTGAATACTGAGTAAAAAACATGAAACTTCAAAAGAATGTATACCGTGTTTGTCTTTCTCCTTCTGGGATATTTCACTCAGGATGATCTTTTCTAGATCCCACCATTTGCCTGCAAATTTCATGATTTCTTCTTTTTTGATTGCTGAGTAGTATTCCATTGTGTAAAAATACCACAATTTCTGTACCCATTCCTCCATCAATGGACATCTGGGTTGTTTCCAGGTTCTGGCTATTACAAATAAAGCTGCTATAAACATGGTTGAGCAAATATCCCTTTTGTGTACTTGAACAAACTTTGGGTATATACCTAGCAGTGGTATAGCTGGGTCTTGAGGAAGCACTATTCCTAATTGTCTTAGAAAGCCCCAGATAGATTTCCAGAGTGGTGTACCAGTTTACATTCCCACCAGCAGTGGAGGAGGGTTCCCCTTTCTCCACAACCTCTCCAGCATGTGTTGTCCCTTGAGTTTTTCATTTTGGCCATTCTGATGGGTGTAAGGTGATATCTCAGGGTCGTTTTGATTTGCATTTCCCTGATGGCTAATGAGGATGAGCATTTCTTTAAGTGTTTCTCTGCCATTCGATATTCCTCTGTCGAGAATTCTCTGTCCAAGGGAGGAGCAGTCCTGTTAGGCCACAGAGGAGAGCTTTTCAGCCAGTCCTGAAGATACCTGATAAAACAGGATCAGATGAATGGGGAGGAGGTCCCCCCTATCAGTGGACTTGGCAAGGGGCACGGTAGAGATGAGGGAGGGAGGGAGGGACTGGGAGGGAATGAGGGATCAGGACACGGCTGGGATACAGAGTTAATAAAATGTAACTGATAAGAAAAAAAATAAAATTCAAAAAAAAAAGAGATAGAGAATGGGAAAAAAAATAAAAGAATGCACACGCATATTTGATTCATGCTGTCTTTTCCTTAAAATGTAGGGTCAATGGTAAAAAGTTATTTACATGTTCAATATTACATCCCCAGGTGTTTTGTGTGCTGTGGCGACACAGCCAATATTTTTGACTGACAAAATATACATCAATGCAATTTCATATTAATACGGATATGCTATTTCAAAATGATTCATTCTAGCTGCAGTCATGTATTTAAGGAGAAAGTGACAGACTGACTAAAAGCGGGTTCTTCGCTCTCTTCCAGATCCCAATTCTCTGGCTGGCCAGAATGGCCCTGACCATGCCCTCATCGGAGGAATAGTGGCTGTAGTTGTATTCGTGACACTGTGCTCCATCTTTCTGCTTGGCCGATACCTGGCAAGACATAAAGGTGAGTAATAGTTAAGGAAAACTCTCTAGTTTTGACAAAAATCTTGCAAACACTAATTCATTCTAAAATGTTATAGGTGTATGTGTTTGTCCAGTGAGTGGAGGCAGGGTTAGAGAAAGGAAGAGGGTTTGGAGATGTAAATCCTAAAGTATTTGATGGAAGTAATGATAAAATGTTATTATCATCAAATGGTTTAAGAAAATTGACTTTATTAAGTCTACTTTAAGGTGAATGGCATGCTACCTTTAACAGTGGAAAAACAATTTACAGGTTTCTATAAACAAAAGCATGAACCATCAAACAGATATTATTTATAGTTGGATTTTTAGTGCTAGAGAAAAGTGGGCACTGGCTCACCCTGTGACTTTGGCCATTGTTCTGAATGTTGCTTTATTACACCAGCCTAATTCTGAGGAAAAAAAAAATGAATGAGAACTAAAGTAGAAGGACTATTTTGGAGAAATAAGTTTCAACTCTTAAGCATTTGGTTAAACGTTTTGTTTATACATATTCCCTTATGAGTCAGAAAATGATTTTTAAGAAAAATATTATTTCTTAAAATACTAGAAATTTTATTTTTATTTTCAATAACAGTCAAATGTAAACATTGTTGACAGAGCTAGTGTGAATTTTCATGCCCAGCATTATTTGGCTAATTCTGAGACTGGTACTCCAAACAAGGACCATGCATTGGGATAACCTAAAACATCTGCAGCTCAGTGTCCAAGTGGGTTTCCTAGTAAGGGGAACAGGGACTGGCTCTGACAGGAACTCAGTGGCTGGCCCTTTGATCACTTCCACCTGAGTGAGGGAGCAGCCTTGCCAGGCCACAGAGGAAGACAATGCAGGCAGTCCTGATGAGACCTGATCGGCTAGGGTCAGATGGAAGGGGAGGAGGACCTCGCCTATCAGATCTTAATATAAGATCCTGATTGTTTCAGCTGAGTTTCCTTTAGGGTCTTACCAATCAAACAATCAATGATTAAAGAAGTGAAAATGGCATAGTCATTCAGTCTCATTCTTGCCTTTAGATAATTGTAACACAGTTTCACTTGAAATACATCTTTTATAATGAAAACAAAAAAGGATAGAATTTTAGAAGTTGAATAGTGTGGCTTCTCAGAATATTGTCCAATATACAAAAACAAGCAAACAAACAACGAACAAAAACATCTGCCGAAATCTATTCTTAATGCTAGTTGCTTTGTTAGACACTCAGAACTAACATCCATCTTCTCCCCGTGCCCACAGGAACGTATCTAACAAATGAAGCTAAAGGAGCTGAAGACGCACCAGATGCTGACACAGCTATTATCAATGCTGAAGGCAGCCAAGTCAACGCTGAAGAGAAAAAAGAGTATTTCATTTAAAATTCAGGCCACACGTTTTACCTACCAGGCTGACTGCTGGAGAAAACTGGCAATCATCTTTCAGAAATCATTCCAACCACCTTCTACTACTTTAATTAACACCCATACTGTACTGCTCTCAGTAGCCAGTGTGTTCCAACAATCAGCAGTTGAAAGCATCATTCTTTAATTACTGTACCATCCATAATGCAGGACATTTCTTATTGCCTAAATTTTACACCATTGCTCTTTTAACACACAGTGCTTGAATATACAGCCTTAACAATGTTAATCATCTCACTGGACCATGAAATTGAGTTGTTTTTACACATTGAAGAAATGTATGCAGAGCCCCACCCTTACATCTGTTTTCCTTTAAATCATAGACTTTATTTGGTTTGCATTGGACAGTTTTCACAAGTCACACAATTAGGTGATGACCTAATGTGCTTATGTTTAATCGAAGATTAGAGGTTTACAAACAATGTTTTCTACCTGTCTATCTTCAAAGATAACATGTTGTGGAAACATATGCCCTAGAAAACAAAAACTGAAAACACTGTAGTGTAGTTTCTGGAATGTTTGAGATTATACTGGTAATACTGTATCAAGTTGCTATTTTAAAATTTAGTGTTTGATACAGGCGCCATGTGTATGGATTATAATCATGACATGACACCTTATATTATTATATAGATCCTACCATTAGGTTATTGTAGCTTCATTTACCAATAAATTATTACAAACACTTAACTGCTTTGGGAATCATAAAGATTTCATTCATTTCTCTATTTGATTCTATAATTTATTTGTTCCATAAGGATTCATCTGCCTAAAAAAAAAAAAAAAAAAGAAAAAAAAACTGAAGTAGGGCACAATTTT